ACTGACATAGCTGCTTTTTTCATCTGCTGAAACAGAATAGCCATCTCATTTTAATTTGTTTACGAAATTAATTTTGGTGCTCTAAGCTAAACTTTTCGTAATACTTTTTTAACATGCTGTGTGAGTAGAACAATTACTTAACAGTTTTATTCACCTCTGGATTCAATTCGTTTAAACATAGTTCATTACATTTAACCATTTTTTCTGATTTTTTTCCTATTTCGAACTCAATTAAATTATTTTCCAATTATTACCAACTGTAGTCATAAAACACCCTGCTAACTAATGAGATTATAAAAAAAAATTACATGAAATATTTATAATAAAATACTCATATGTTTTACGAATAAAGTTCTAAAACATCAATTTGAGCTTTTTTATTTATTTAATTCTTTATTTATTTGAGCAACAAGCTTATTTTGCTTCATGCAGTTAACATTACAAAAACTAAAGAGAACTTTCGATTGCGATTATTACTAATCAATAAAATAATCGTGTCATGATTCGTGTTTCTGCATAATATGTAACTTTGTATGAAAAAATAGCTTATTATACTTACGAAAAATGCCAATTTTGACGTTTAAGTAATTAAAATTTTTAACAAAACTTACCTAGAAATATTTTGCCTCTTTTAATCTTGTGAATTAAAGTTTTATTTTTTTTAGTGATTGTTTATGATAAAATATACAATTTGATACACAATAAAATAAATTTATATTTATGCAAATATATTTATTCTTACAATGCAATAATGGTGTTGGTAATAGCTGAATAATTTCTTAAAGAAGTAATTATATTAATAAAAATATTGATAAAAAATAAATGTTAAGTTCCGAAAAAAACTGAATCTTTATATGAAAAATATATACCATAATTATAAAATTTGAGAGATGAAATTTAAAGAAACTTAATTTGCTTACATTCAGTTTAGTGTTATCGCAAGCAAGATTAATAGTCTAATCTAAACATGCATTCAAAATTACATAAGTTTTGAATAATAAATATTAATAACAATTAGTATTTGGTATATTATAAAGTTGATAAATATTCATAAGAACTATTTTCAATAACCTAAATACAAACATTTTCGAAGAATTTCAATATGAGAATGTAATCCTTTTTTATCCTTCATTTAAGTTTTGCAAAGACATTTTAATCATAAAAAGCAATTCCACAGCTTATTTCTTAAATTTACTTAAATTATTCATCGAATATTCGATGTAGAATGCTCAATGTCAGAGCGAGGAAAAATAAAAGCACTACCAACGCACTTCCAAGGGTTTCTGGCGTCAATTTGAGCTTTGATGAATTGATATGAATATTCATAAAAGGAGCTTTGCCAGCCATCTTTAATTAGGTATTTTCACTGTTTCAATTTCTATACACAGTCTTTGGTTAGAGTACACACTCTCTCTTCCATTCTAAATTAACTGTCAAATTAACCCAAGCCTTAAGAGTTCCGAAGCTAAAATGTAACGCTTTTCTTAGATATTCATGACCGGCGTAATAAAGATTCATTTTAGTGAACTTCTTGCAGTGTTCTTTTAAAGGGGAAGTAATTTTTGAAATTTAATTGCATTTATGTTATTTAACTCCTCAAAACTAAAAACTTAGTTAAAAAATAAAAATAAATATTTAACATACAGATATATGTTTTTAATAATCACAAAAAATATAATATTTTTATGTCTGTATGAAAAGTATGGTAAAAAAAGTTAAGTAAAGTTTTCAATGAACAATACGCTAAAAGGGGCAAGACAAAAAAAAAATCTTGGACAACCAAACTGGTTTTGATTGTTTTTTCATTGTACCTCCCTCAAGACTGATGAGACAGATTCCAGTACCTTTATTTGTATCTAGAAAAAATTTTTGACAACTATGGTGCCAACTTTCTGGCAAATTTCGAAAAATACATTAAGGGAGGTAATTTTTGAAAATCTTGTTCATTCTTACTCGTGATTTGTTAATGATGGTTTTTACCTTACTGACACACGATATTGCACAGTAAGATATATACAATAACTGTTTTCCATGCCTAGTAATTCTTTATTCAGCAAAGCAAACGTTACGCAGAGATAACACTTATGAGGATATCCGTTGCGGGTCAATTCTTCCTGGAAGTTATGAATATTCTTTGAAATATCTCCTATAAAGTTATTGAGGATTTTTAAAACTCAGTGCGCAAAATAAAAAAGTGAGCACCGTGAATAACTTTAGATTAAATGATTGGATTTTTCAGTACTATGACTCAATCTTAGTAGCTCGAAGGTTTAACCTTAAATATGCATATTTTTTGAGCAGATTTTAAGAGACGAAATTACACACAAAAGCGTAATAACATACCTTCTTTTCAACCTATTCGGGTTCTTGATCCTCAAAATATGAGAGTAGCCGCAATCCAGAAAATACGCTTCCTATAGTTTTGTCCGGAGAACGATTGTAAATTTTAACCCCTTAACACTAATTATTACGTATTGCATCATGTTTTAAAAAGATTTTAAGTAAATTGGAAAGTTTTTACCAACAATTATATAAATTTGTTTATCTAATGACAAATTCAAAAAAGAAATAATGCCTAATTATTACTTGTACTTTTTTTATTATTTCATATTATAACAGTCAAAAAAATTTAACTGTAAAGTATGCAAGTTTGTATATTATTTTAAAGAATGTAATTTATATGGCAAAATACAAAATTTGAAAGAAGTCGGTGGAATATTTCTCAAGAAATCAGATTTTAAGCATAGGATTTATTAGATTTTAATAACTCGAATTTCTTATGTTGCTCTTATTGAAGTAAACAATTGATATATTTTTTTCGATGGAATTATCTTTGGTTAACTGAAGAAAATCTTTGGAATGGAATTATCTTTGGTTTTACAAATGTGCCGAAATGCGCAAAAAATATTAAATTATAGCTAAAGGAATCTTGAAACGAAACTCAAATTGCAAAGGATAGTTGATAAAAGTTTAAACTTTTGAAAAATGCTGAGTTAGAAGGAAAAGAATTAATTTCATGTGTTGTTCATTGAAACTGCTACCTGCTCAAACTCTTCAAATATTGTGTTTTTCAGCGGCATTCAGGCCTTTGTAGTAAGAAAACTATTTTAAAACAATATAGATTTGCATATAATTTGTAAAATGCAGATTTGTACGTTTAAGGAAAAAAAAAATTTTTCCTTAACAGAATTTTTTTTTAAATTTAATTTAGTATTTTTTCTGTATTTTAAGATTTAATTAGCAATTTTTAATCTTCTTATAAAGATTCTTTATGCTGTAATGGCATATTTTCGGGAAAATAAATCATAAATTTTTCAAATTCGTATTTGCGGCAGAAATGAAATTTAGTTTAAACTTCAACAGTGAGTGTAAGTTCATCGTAACTGTAAAATCAAGTCGTATCGTTATTATTTGACATTTTGCATGAAATTGATTGTATGCTATCAGTGTCCATTTGCCATTTATTTATACACTACCCTGATACACACACTATTTCTTTCTATACTGCTTACGTTTATTTATTCCATATAAACTTAACCTGAAAACAATTAAAAGATTTAAGAAAAAACTTATCAATTAATATAAAAGAAGATAACGTATTTTATTTTTATTTCAATTACTAGCGCGACATAACCTAAGCAAAACTGTTCATTTTTTAAATCATAGTGTCTGAACCCATGTGAATTTCAAATTTAAGCTTCTTAATATTAATAGAACTTATAATAACGAAAACGCTTATTGTGCACTAGTATTTCCATCTTCTTTTAGAAAGGTAAATATTCTGCTAAAAATTAAAAACTGTTTAAAATAATTAAGCAATACCTATGTCAATAAATAAGTTTTTTTTACTCAAATTGCCAATTGACTTTTTAATCTTATGAAGTTACTTAAAGTATAACTGTAAAGTGGACAACTGCAGTAAAATGTTTTTCACAATACTCGTTTCTATTAACCAAACATATTCTTTGGGAAATACTAAACATATTTGTAGCTAAGAGTTCATCTCAATGTCTCAAAAGACAGAGGTATAAGAGATTTTATAAAAAAGAAAATACAAAAACCATGTCAGCTACACATACAGTCCCTGGCCAAATTATTAGACAAATTAGAAGATTCTATGTAGAATCTTAATTATCAGGCGATACTATACAGCTTTATTGTTTTTACGCGACTGAAAACGGTTTGCACTTGTTTACGTTCGTGTATTAATTAGGAAACATTGGACGATAAGTAATGTAAATTAGACTATTGGATAAATTAGATTATATATTATATAAATATAAAATATTTATCATATCAGGTATTATGTAAGTATATTATAATAATTGGACCAAATTATTAGACGCACTGTTGTTTTTTAATAATTACATGTTTTTCACGAGTATATATGCAATACTTTTATATATAAACATATATATAATGGGTTTTAACTCTTATTGAATTAGATTTCCTATTTACTGGTATTGGAGATTTTTAATATTTTCCTATTTGTATTTATTTTTAACGTATTGCATTACAATGTTAACCAATTGATACACGAACGTCAACAAGTGCAAACCAGTTTCAACAGCGTTAAAACAATAAAGCTGTACTGTATCACCTGAAAATTAGGATTTTACATAGAATCTTATAATACATCTAATAATTTGGCCAGGGACTGTAGTACATCAATATCGATTTAAAAATTAAAATTAAGAATTATAATAAAAGAAGATAAGAAAAAAACTCTAACCATTGGGTAGATTTTTGTATGAGAAATAAATAATGTAAAGAAAAATAAAGTCCCCGTGTCCAAATTTATTGATCCTTTTTTAAGCTGACCCCCAAAATTTTCACCATCAGTGTATTTTAAATATAAAGAAAAATAGGCATTTATTGTAAAAGTCCCTACTATACATTCTTTAAAAGAATTTTTATTCTAACTGTAAACGGAGATCAATTTTATCTCTCATTCTTTGTAACGGTACATTGATATTATGAGCAGTTCTTTATTTATTTACTTGTATTGAGGATGTATGCGGTCTATGTGCTGTTTAAGAAGACTCGGTGCAAGAAAACCTCTTTCACAGAGGTGACACTTATGGGGGAACTGTTTTGTGTGTTTACTAATAACGTGGCAATTAAGATGAGAAGATGTGGTGGCCCTGTATTGGCAGTTGGAGCACTTGTAGGGTCTTTGCAAAGTGTGGATTCTTATGTGCTTGTGAAGATGTGAAGATTGGGTGAAATCTCTTCCGCAGGTGGAACATCGGTAAAGTCTGATGCCGCTGTGACTTCTCTCGTGACTCTCCAAGTCTCCTTTTTGAGTGAAGTCTCTTCCACACACTCCACAAGAGAAATGTCTCTCTCCACTGTGGATCCTCAGGTGTGTCTTGAGATTACACTCTTGAGTGAATGTCTTGTGGCAGTGGGGACATCCGTGTCTCCTCTCACCCGTGTGAGTAATGAGATGACGGCGGAGATTACATGACAGGTTGGTGGAGTATATGCAGTGGGGACATCGATGCCTTTGATCGTGTCCCTGACGGGGATGTTTCCTCCTGTGTCTCTCCATAGCATCCACGGATGTGAACAATGAACTGCAGAACTCGCATGCCACACCTTTTACTCCTATGAAATAAATATTAAATAAACTATGTTTAACTCGAATCTAACTGCAAGTTGTTGTAAGAATAAAAATAGCATTGACGGTAGATACATGAACCACACGTGCAATATACTCTTGGAAGCAATTTTTGATACATATTTTTATACTTTTCCTTACAAAGAATCATAAGAAAATATCAATTTTAATAAAAAATAGCAATTTTTAATATTTTCTATTTCTTTTTTATTTCTTTTTCATTTATTGATTGCTTTTTGTAATATATAAACATTCTTATGAAAAACACTTTTGATGAGAAAAAAAATCTCATCTTATGATATTGTTAAATTGTATAATTTTTGTAAAAACCATATTTATAAAAAAATATAACTGTTTTATTTTTAAGAAAAAGACGATACTATGGTAGATACAAATGCTTTTTTCTTTTCTAATCGAATGAAAAATATTTAAATTAAATACAATGTCTTTAGTTATGACGCGTAATAATCAAACATCATTAATTTCTATTGAATGAAAAAAGTGAAATATATATTATTTATATAATAAGAATAATATTTTTGCATGAAAACCTTGTTAAGTTCGAAATATATTAACGACATTTAAATCATAGATTAAACTTCCTCAATGGTACATAAATAAAACTGAAAACAAAAAATTTTTTCAAAATAATTATAGTTTAACTTAGGATAGAAAACTTTACTGTATAATCAAAAAACGGAAACACTTTTAAAATTTTATCTACTATTTTTAATCATCTTAACTTATACGACATAGATTTCATCATTCATACTTAATTGATTAGCTTCAATGTCCCTTTTCAAGCAGATTCCAAGATCAGCGGCATATTTTCCCCCATACCACACCAGAAGCTCTTGAAATGGTAACACTTCCCTGTAAGTCTTGTAATAGATTTGTTTCTTGTACTGGATTGCAACCAAATTTTGTTTCTCTTCCTTATCAGCACAATTCACGAATCTCAACCAGTTGGAAATATCCTTTTTGAACCCTTCAATATAATGATCCACTCTCTCTCCCTTCCATACCTAAACAAAAATTAAGTTTATATTATGAATTGAATTTAATGATACCATTACATCTTTTACGCATTAAATTTATAATGAAATAAATAATTGCAGTCTGACTAGGACAAATATGTTAAAACATATATTTCAAAATAATATTATAATCTTAATTTAAAAAAAACATCTAATTTTAAAAATTGAAAAAAAAAGTAAGTTGTTATACCATCCAAGCATAGCCAGATTTTTCAGCCTCTTTTCTTGTTCTAATAATCTTTCCCTTGTAAGGACCAAACACTGTTCCGATTGGCAATGGGATTTCTGTCCATATTCCGAG